AGGGACTCAGCTTGGAGCAGGGGACAATGTATGGGATTAGGAGTTAGAAAACCTTGGACAGGTCACTTCCTTTCTTTTAGGTGTCTTCTTAGCTGTAAAATGATCGAGTTGGGTTGCACAGCCATTCTTTCCTTTTCTCTAAATCTGTGACTCTATTTCCTTGCGAAGAAAGAAAAACGAAAAAGTTCTGTGTGTCCCCATTTTATAGATGAGGAAACTAAAGCAGGAGGAGGATAAGATAACTGACGTTATATCAGCTATACAGCAGGCAATCATAGATTTAGAGCTGGAAGTCTAGTCTGATCCCCTCATTTGTAAAATGAGGAAATGAAAATATGGAGGCTAAGTGACTTGACCAGGATCACACAGGAAGTAAGTGGAAAAGCCAGCATTTCAATCTGAGTCTTCCACCTCCAAATTGAGCACCCTTTCACCTTGTTTTTAACAAGTGCAATGCATTTCACACACCTTCATTTGATCTGGATCTTAGCAGCTCTTGAAACTATTGCACTATGGGCAATAATGATAATTATCACATCATTATAGAATTCTCCATAATCCTATAATGCTATTGTAATAATTTCTCTTAACTATCTGGTACACAAAGTATCTTATGTCTTTCACACGTACTTAAAGAAAATGCCTTGTGTCCAAAAAACTTAAGGTTACAAATTATACTTTTGTGGCTAAATTTAGCCTTCATCCCTAAGTAATAGTCACATGAAAATGTCGGTTTTGAGGCAAGATGAAGCCTTACTTTCCGGTGGCTCCCCTTAGAAACCCAAACCTCTAAAACCAGAACTGTCTACAATGGACTAGTGGTGGCCCCTTTGGACAGAAGTCTTGGGCTTATGTCGCCATCTGGTGTCCTGCATAGGAAAGCGTTAGACCCAAAGCCTCTTTCCTACCTCTCATTGAGAGCTTTGGGAGGAACTTGGAGCAAGAATTCTCCTTCTTTGTGTCTTGGATTCCTCTGGGCAGTCTGGTGAAGCCTATGGACTCATTCTCTGAACAATGTTTTTAGATGCATACAATTACAAAGGAAACTAATCATATTGAAATTTAGTTAGAACAAAAGTTCATGGAACCCAGATTAAAAACCTCTGCCTGAGAGATAACCTAGTCCAGCTTCATTTTAGAGGTAAAATAATTGAGTCAGAGAAAAAGAAAAATGATGACTTTGTCCAAGTAGTTTGCATCTGAGGAGCACCCACGGGGCTTTCCCTTTTCTCACCTCATTGATTTCTAGTGAAGGTATCCCTGTTGTGAGGATCACTGCAGTCAGGGGAGATGAGGGCCAGTAGGACGAGGAGGTGAAGCTAGAAATATCCTGCATGGTATTGACTGAAAGAGGAGAGTTAAATAGCTGGTAAAAAAAAAAAAAATTAAAAAAAAAAAAGGTTTTTGAGTTACCCAGATTTCAATGAAAACAAACTCTGTCTCTCCTAGATAACTGAGTTGGTTATAGCTAGAAAATTCATTGCGCTCTTTCCAAAGAATGAAATATACCCAAGAAAAATATGCTATTTTTCAACAAGCCCAGGCTGTTTTAGAAGTGACCGGTGTGACATTTTTGCCACCAGAATCTTAGTTTGACTGAATCTTGGCAATGTGGAACTTGTCAAAATTAGATTAAAGTGCTTTTTTTTGTCCTTAGGAAAAATCTACCTAATTATTACACTCTTCTTAATAAACTAGGATTTGTAACTTTTGTCTTCATTTTCCTGGTGCTTAGCACAGTTCCTGGCACATAGTAGGTGCTTAACGAATACCCACTGATTCCAGGGCACATCAAATAGAATTTGATGATTTAAGTTTGCATTTACCTTACATTTCATCAAAGAAATGGGCTCCATTGTGGATTTTTGAAGTGAAAGTAGGGGAGCTTGGCTTTTACCACCTTTGAATCACTTTTCGGTCAGTCAAGTATTTATTAAGTACTTACTTTGTGCCCGGAGCTGTGCTAAATGCTAGGAACACAAAGGAAAAAAACCAGCATAAACAATCCTTGTCCTCAGGGAGCTTATATTCTAATGGAGAAACCTACATGGGTGGAAATAGAAATAGCCATAGACATTCTCCCTAGATGGAAGGTAACCTAGGGGGTGGCAACAGCACTAGCATTGAGCTGAGCCTTCCTATGCTTTAGACTTGCTCTGATTTCTGTTTCTCTGTTATGGACCCAAGACAATGAATCTCCTATTTCTAAGTTCTATAGAAACTAAGAGATCAGCCTGATCCCCAGTCCTCTGAGACTTAGGTAGACAGGGACAATCTGTAGATCCATAGTCAATAGGAGGAAGGCACCAAATTATTTTTGCTTAACTTGTAAAAGGGGCGTCGTTGGAGGTGGGGGAGGGTTGTCTTCAAAGTATAGGGTTTATACCCGGTGTATAAGGTGTATTTCGACCTGATGGTTATTTCATGCAAAAGTATTCTCATTGCATAGTTAAAAAAACAAACCAAAAAAAAAACCCAACAACTAACTAATCTTGGAGTAAGAGCCAAGTAGTGATATGAGCATTTTATTTGAAGCATTTTAGTTATTCTAGAAAGAAAATTCTAGAAAATTCTTCGTCTGGGTACATTTTTCAGAACATGTTTCATGGTGACAATTTTGTTTCCATGCCTTTTGCTTTGGGAGTTGGGTTTTCTTTTTCATACCAATAAACTTTCTACTGGTGATATGTGAATTGAATTTTGAAAAATATGTCATTAAATATTTTATCTACCAATCATATTCTTAAATATTGTAGAAGGCCAGTTTGGGGGAGATTTTGTTTTCTCACTCCCCATATGTTGCATGCCGTTTTAGCCTGGCTAGCAGGAAAATGAAGAAGTGCCAAATAGCCACTGGATTGAGAAGAGAAGGGGAAATCTTTTAGAGGAGATCTGACTGAGAGACCCCAGGCTCTATGGCAGGAGATCTGTGGGAGTCCTGGTGTTCCCCAATTTACATTATAAATATTCCTAGAGATATGTAAATGTCTGTCTCTCTGTCTCTGTCTCTGTCTCTGTCTCTCTCTCTCTCAAGACACTGGGGGGATTTCCCATTTAAAAGAAAACTGAATGCTGACTTCAGGAAAGTAAAGACTCCTTTTGTTAAGGATGTGACATCTCTGCCCCATCCATTCCCCAACACATTCCTCCAGTTTACCTGAATTATAAATTCAGATTTTTGTGTACCCAGGTTTCTTCTGATAGGGGACTCCTAGATAGCCCCAGTAGGTTGCTTTGTGCTTTTCTTTCCTGGACATTTATCAAAGGATTATTTCTTCTTTTGTTAATCAGATCCCAAACTCTTTGTTTTAAGAAATATCAATAACATATTTTTAAATGGGTCTGACTTGCTAGAAACACAATTCTAGTTGCCTGTGACAACATTGAAATCCTTATGTTGGCCTTGGATTGTTTCAAAGCAAGAATCTTTTCTCAGTGACTTAAAAATTGAAATGTATATGTTTTCTCTGGCCGTGTGTTCCTTTCCTTCTTTAATAGGCTGTCTTTGGAAGTTATATTGTTCAAATCTGATTTCCTAATAAAATAAATAAACAAAATAAGGTAACCCTGGTAGCGTCTCCCTTCTCAGCCCCCCAATCCCTCTTTTTATTGCTAGTCTCTGCAATAAGTCTTCTTTAGAATTCCTCAAGGCGTCTGGGGTCAGTGTTTGCTGGGGGGGGGGGGCGCGGTGTGAGACGGTGGGGGCCAAGTAGGAGGGAGGAGACAAAGGAATTCGTTTTGAATGTAGGCTGAACACAACTACTGTTGGCTGCAGTCTGACCAAACCAAAGTTTTATTTACAAGATAACCAATCACCTAAAAAGTGATAGACCTATTTGGTATTCAGGAGAAGGAGAGCTTTCATGAATTTAAGGAATCGGGGAAGAATCCTGGATTTGGATCCCCTGGAAGGGACCTCAGAAGCAGCTAGTTCAAACCCCGAATTTTTACAGAAGAGACAGAAGCCCAGAGGTGCAAGTTAATTTTGCCTCAGATTGCCCTTCAGATTTGAGGGCTGGCTTGATACTTGATAAATATTTAGATCCATTTGAGAACCCAATGAATTTTTCTCAGTGAATTGAGTTCTTCCCCCATTTATTCTAGTTCTAGCACCCTGTCCTTCCCACAATTGCTTTGCCTGGACTTATCAGTGCATAGATTGTATCGTTCCCTCACTTCCCAGCATAGAAACTTCTTGAAGGTGAAGATTTACTTTTTTTCTTCTTCTGCTTTTGTATCTCCACACCTCCCTCAATGCCTGTCAAAGAGTTGGCACTTGGTAAATGTTGACCTAAGAACTCATTGAGTTCTTTTTAAAAATAGATTTTATTTATTGATATCTTTTATTTTTACATTACCTAAAATTTTCCCTGTATCCCTCCTCGCCAGGGAACCATTTCTTGTTACAAAGAATTATTGAAATTGACCTCTGGATTGGATCCTTCCATTTCTTAGAGTGTTTGCTTTGCCTCTGGAAGCATTTTGGTGTTTGTGTGTCTGGGTACAGAGTGATACCTCTACTTAGAAAGGAAGCTCCCAGAGGGCAGGCAGCATTTGGTTTTGCTTTTTTGTCTTTGTATTCCCAATGCTTTGCACCATTCCTTGTTTGATAAATAGGAATGGATTATTAAAATGTTGACTTGAGTTGAAGTGCTCTTTGTGACTAGTCTGGTAAGGCGAGGTTGATCATGTTTGTTGGCTTCCTGATCTGGAATCTAGAGGATTTTGATATCTAGCCCTTTTGAAAACCTGGTTGAGTTGGGGTGAAGTGTTGTACCAACCTTGGCAGAAATGCTTCTCTTAAATGTTATGACTCTGGCAGCATCATATGTATCCCTCTCTTTCCTCTCCTTTGGCCTCATTTCTGGTCTGTGAATTTTTCTTCAATTTGGAAGACATTGTTATTTTTAATGGAAGATGTGACACTGTCATTTCCAAATGGGAAATTTGCATATATTTTCCCACCCATCCCTTAATTCTTTTCTTTTATTTCCCCCCAGGAGCCGTAAGATCCAGATTCGAAACATCCCACCTCATCTTCAATGGGAGGTAAGAATTCCTATATTTAAAATGAAGTTGTTACTATTGATTCTTTTTTATAAGTCTTCCTGAGTCCCTCTCTTTGCTCACCCCTTCCCTGACACTCCCTGGCTTCCTGCATTTGCTGGAGCCCATATACACCTCATTCTACTCTTGGGGAGTGGCTGTGGGTGGGGGCCCCTTATGGTGCAAGGGAAGAAGCTAGTTATTTGCTAAAGTTATTCACTGCCTTGGTTTCTTTGGGTTGTGTATTTAAAAAAAAATATTGCCATGGGTTTCTCGGGTGAATGCTAACCCCTTGATGTTGTCTGGTTTCTTAACCAAAGGGCTTGTCCGTGCCAACCCTTCCTGGCTAGAGTTCAGTCATCTTCTTTAAATCCAAATTTCCATGCTTGGCAAAACCCTTAAAAAAATCAAACTTAAAGAGGAGACATGAGTATCTTCCAAATATTTGTCTATTTGGTTTTACCCCTGAATGATGGCATTCGGCTAAGTGTGTGTTTTAGAGAGATCATGGTTGGCCCAAGTTTGAATGAGATTCTGTGTCCCTGAAAGCTTCTGAAGTCTGATTGGGATATCACAAGTGGGACATGATGACTTGATGAGCCCCAAGCAAGGAAGGCAACAGTGGAAAGTTGAGTTATGGTTTTGTGTGGCCCTTTTATATAATGGAAATTGAGAATAATTCATCTCCTTTTCCTTTTAACAAAAGAACACATAACACACCCAACCCTTGGCTGTTTCTTTCTGAATATTTCTAAATCTGTTTTAGAAAAATTTTTTATGTGTTTTTCCCTTTCAAAGGCCATTTGATAATGAGCTGTGTAAAATTTTGAGATGGGGACTTTTTTTTTTTTGGCACAAAATTTTATGTTTAAAACAACACACTGAAAACTCCTGTGCAGTCTCTTCTTGCTCTCCCTTTTAGGGGGTGAGGAGGGGGCCCACCCAGCATCCTGGAGGCTTCCCTCCATTTCCTTTGACATTACAAACATAAGAATTTGCAATGGGCCACCACTGCCTTTAAGAGGGGGTGGTTGATTATTGGTAATCCTTGTATGAAAAGACCAACCAGTCCTTGGGAAGAAAGAAGATTTTTATTTGGTCATTACTCATAGGTCGAGGATGCCTGTCATGGGGCTCCTGCTAAGTTTTCCCCTATTTTAGCATTTGTTTGGGGAATAGATCTCCAGGGTCGATGAGCTAGACACCAAGTTCAAGGTCAATATAGAGAAGTTACTGGTTTTTCTATCTTCACTGCAAGACAAACCCACAGATTCACGTTCAAAAACTCCTGGGTTAGTCTGGCTTAGCTGTAAATAAGACCACCTAATAGGAATACCCTTTTAGAAGTCAGTAGGTTATCTAAATGCAGCTGCCGCCCATTACCTGTGAAGTTATACATTTGAAAAGCCTCCTTGGGAACCAACTTGAGATTCCAGGTTAGGTGGCATTTTTTTTTTTTTTAAACCTACCAAGAGGAATTAAAATGTAACCTTCTTTTGAATTGGAGAGAATTCACATCTGATGCTGTCAGGAAGCAAGTCTCCCAAATTTGACAGAGAATAATGCTTCCTGCTGCTCTGCATTTTTGCATTTGAAACTTTCCGCTTCTCTGGTGACACACCTTAGCATTGATTTTATTACACTATTTTGTCCCCATTCTGTGTTTTTAAAGGTGACTCATTCACCACTCTTACCCACCCATCCCTTCCCCACCCTCAAGAATAAGAGCAGGATAATAGCTGGGCAGTACACATGGTGGGGTGCACAGAACAGGTTACCTTAGATTTCCATTGGAGCCTCAGCAATCCAATGAGGTTATTATTATCCCCATTTTAGAGATGAGGAAACTGAGGTTTAGAAGTGAAGTGACTTGCCTGGGATGTCCCAAGTAGGTAAGGGCCAGAACCGGGATTCAAGCCCCACACCTTTCTGACTGCCAACCTCACCTCTTAAGACGAGGGGTGACTCTCACCAGAGGCTAGAATGTTGAGCTCTCACTCCTGGACGATGACAAGGGCCTCCTGGCCCTTCGAATTCTCTGGGTGCTATGTTACTCTTGACTGAGCTCACCCAACGTTAACTGTTCCAAAGATTTTTTTATGACCATCGTTTTCTTCTTTTGCAATATCTCTTTCAGCTGTATCAGCAAAAGAATGTCTCTGTTTTCTAAATTGGCTAAACTGAGGCACAGAGAATTGAACTTACTTAATTGAACTTACTTATCTCACCTTGGTCAAGTCATAAGCAGACCCAGAGAGTGGGATGTGGGACTCCTAACTTCCAGTACATAGTTTGAAAAAAAAAAAAAAAAAAAAAAAAAACTACCCATGAAAATTCTGGTCTTGAATAGTAATCAACCATAAAAGAATATTTATCAAGTATGTACTTGGTATAGGTCATTGTCCCAGAGGAAATAAGACCTAGGACACTATTCCAAGGGGAAGGGGGGCTCGCCTGTTCTGCTTCAGCCCCTTGGAAAACCAATTTCCTAGCCTTTGCCCAAAAAGCTAAAAGAGTCTAGAAGCCTCATGTGTGGCATTCCTCATCAGTGAGGTGACTGAGCCCAGTGTAGGGATGCCTATATATTCCTATGGAATGTTGGCTGCTCTGCCGAGTTTAAAAAAGCCTTCCTCTCCCCTTACCTCAGGTTCCATACCATAATAGGCTAGGGAACAGGGTCCTTTAACGTGTCCTTAGCAGAGCTTGAGTTTCCTCCCTCCCTCCTTCCCCCTCCCCATTTTTGGAGTGACTTTTCAAATGATTTTCCTCATTTAGATGTCCAGGCAGGGACTGAAATCTTCGTGGTTTAGCCACTTTCTGCCTGGTCAAGACACCTACTCTGGGCACAATATATCCTAATTCAATTAAATATATCAAACAATTATGAAGTCTCTAATGTGCCAGACACTGTGTTAGACCCTGGGGATTTCAAGAAAAAAACAGCACCCCCTGTCCTTGAGGGGCATACTGTGTTACTGGGAAAGACTCCTCCCTCTCCCGTACATCCAAAGTATTTGCAAAGGGGGTGAGAGTATGAACCCCTAGGGGGAAGACGTGAGGGCTTGGAGGGGTGGGGTTCAGGGAAGGCCTCTGAGCTGGGCAGGGGACGAAGGTGAGCATTCTGCAAGGTGGAGGGAGGAGGGAAGGCATTTCAGATGTGCTCCTTTGAGTTTATTTTATGGGAGCATCTTTGGCTGCCAGAGGAGTTGGTTAAATGTTTCCTGGCACCTTCAGTACATATGGAATGGAGGGTTATGGGAAGACAGCAGGTGTTGCTTTTCTCTGATGCTTACCTCACCTCGAGGCGCCACTAGGACTTCGCATTTGGCCCATGTCTGCGGAGAGAAAGGGGCCGAGCTAGGGGGACCCAGAGGAGGGAGTAGCCAAGACTCCTTTTAAAGGAGTGAGAACCAGTGGGCCCCAAACACATGTCTTTTTGGCCATATCACTTGTCAGGCTCTTGACCGGTCAGCCATTTTAGACATCTCAGTCTCTCAGGGGCTTGCCAAGAGTGATATGTGATAGTGCTTTGGGGAGAAATCTATATTGGGTGAGCTACTAATAAATGAGTGACCCAACCATAGGAGACAGTTACCTTCTGACACCTTCCATTCCCTTCTGAGCCTCCTGGAAAGCTCTACAGGAACAAGAATGCCCTTCAGGCAAGAGATGTACCTGGGGTTGTAATAAAATAATTCCAAACCCCTGAGACAGGACTGTTCCAGAATGAGAATTATTCTTCATTTCTTTGGAGGGTTGTGTGATTTATTCACCCACCCCAAACCTACAATTCTCTAAGGTTGCCACCAAATAAAGGGAAACAGGCATGTTAAGCCTAGTGGTTAGAGCCCTGAACTTGGAGTGTGGTAGACCAGCATTCAACTCCCACCCACCCTCACCCCCTGCTTCCTGGCCATCTGACTGACTCTGGGCAAGTCACTTCATTCACTTCTCAAAGTTTCAATATTTTTAGGTATGAAATGGACATAATAATCTGGCAGTATTTTGTGGATCTCAACTGAGATAATGCATTTTAAAAAATTGGCAAACCATTTCAATAAGCATTTGTTAAGTACTTACTATATGCTCTAAAAGGGCAAGTTTTTATTAATTCTTATTTTTAAAAATCTTTTTTAATATTTCTTGCTTTCACATCACCTAAATTCCCCCCTGTATTCTCTTATTACTTCAGGGATTTCACTGATGGGGTAGTCCCTTGGTGAGGTTTAAAAAAAAAAAGAGCCCCCCTTTTTGTCCAGGTGAATTTCTGTGCAGATATTGTCTAGTTTCTTTAAAAGAAAATCCTGCAATAAGGAAGTGTTCTAAGCAGTCTTAGCCTGGAGCTTGGTGCTCCCCAAACTCTTCCCAATTTCAGCGCCCCAGGGAGGCAAGCAAAGGCTAGAGAGGGAGACCCAACTCAGAGAGAAGAGTCTAGGTTGCTCTATGCCAAGCCCTCTGCCTCACTTTTTGCTCAGTGCTTTGGCTGGGACCTGGGGTGAAGAATCAGTGGAGAGGGAGAGCCCCCAGGGGCAAAGATGAACAAAAAAGTGATCCCTGGCCTCTGCTTTTGGAGCTGGGGCAGCCTTGAAGACACCTTTGCCTCCTGGCCCCTGGCTTGTGAGCAGACCAGGAATCATTGGGTCCTGCTTTGTCTGCAAGGCAGCGGCCACTTGTTTCTCCTCCTGGGCTGGAGCACTCATAGACTGGCCCTGCCAGGGCCAGGAGTGGAGCCCAACCTTGAAATGGAAATAGAAAATAAGGGTGTGGTGCAGCTTAGGTTTCTGTCTTTTGGAGGAGAGAAGACTTTCTCAGTATTTGTGGAGAGACGTTTTGGCTCATCTATGTGAGCCAAATATTTCTCGAAAGATTTTTTCCTTTCCAAATGGGGTACTGGAATGGGAGGCTGCGTGTCCACGGAACAGCTGTCTCCTCTTTGATCTCAGAAAAGTGTCTCCTTTTATAGACGGACAGGACTGTGCCTCCCAGGCCATTTTCTGTTCTTGTCCTCGGGACCAGGGCTACTCATGCTTTGGTTCTCTTTATAATCAGAGTGAAAGAAGATGACTGACTTATAGGAAGGCTGGTATATGAGCCACCAGGTTTCTCCTCAGAGTTCTTTGCTTTCTTGAAGGCAAAGAAGTCTTGGCCGAGCTTGCTGTGTGTGCATGTATGTGTGCTTTTGTGTGTGTGTGTGTGTGTGTGTGTGTGTTAGGGGAAGGTATCCTGCATCGTAAGGCAGGATTTCATGTCTAAATCACTTTGAAAAGCTTGACTCACATGGACCCTGCTGCTGTTGGGTCTTCTGTGACAGAGCCAGGATTCTAAGCCAGCTCTTTTGACTTTGAATCTGTTGCCCTCACCCCTGTTCCACACTGCTTCCCAACTCAAATATCAGCTGAACCCTTCCTGAGTCTCTCACTCAGCTTCCTGCTAGACCACCGCTATAGGGGCCGTATGTCCTGCAGTGGAAGGGTATATTTGTTTGGTGTCCTGAGAAGGAGGGTCCATGTTCTTGCAAACAAGAAACCGCCATCTGTCGCACCAGTTTACCTGTTGCTCTAGATGTTGGTGGTCAGCTGAGTCTTGCCTCCCTGCTTTGGATTCAGCTTTAATATTAAACATGTCCTGGTTAAGATTCCATGGTGAGATGGGAAGCTGTGCTCTGCATGTGTTCCACCCTGCCTGAGGTGATCCAAGGGCGAACAGATGTAGGAGAGGTTACATTAGCATAGGAGATGGAAAGAGATGGGTCAGGAGGCTTGATTTGTTTGAATTTGATGCAGCAAATGCAGATGCTTATCATCCAGCTGCCTCTCCCACCACATACTCTAGTATGGGATCATCTCAAGGCTCGGGACAGATGAGACTAGAACACGCAGTTTTACATCTAAGCAAGGAACATCTTTGTATGATGGCTGATTAGTTAGTGCCCAGGCAGCGGTGTCATCCTGGTAGTTGGGGTACAGTGGGCAGTGAGTGACAGATAAAGAGCCAGAGGATCTGATTGATTTCAGAGTCCACTTGTGTTCTCTTGTACCTAGGTCTGACCGTGGGTGATGGCAAGCCCCTTCACGAGAACTTCCCTATGTCCCTTGGGTCATCTGGGAAATGAGCTGGACCAGGTCTCTCATTTCCCCCCTTCCAGCTCTCAGTTCTGAGATCCAGTAGACCAGGACTTCTTAATGTTTTAAACCTTAATGTCCTGGCACCCTTTGGAGCACTTCTCAGAATCATGTTTTTAAACGCAGAAAACAAAATGCATAGGATTACAGAGGAAATCAATGATTATCAAAATATATTCTTAAAAGGCCACGGACCCCTAGTTACAAACCCCTGCCTTAGGCTTCTGGTGTTTGGCCAGGCTGTTACCAAATCACAGGGAAGAAACCAAGTTATTGAGACTTAATACTGTTCTTGGCACATAGTACATACTTAAGAAATATTTGTGGTGAAGTGAATAGAACACTTGCTTGGAGCTAGAAAGACCTCAGTTCAAATATAGCCTCAGACACTTATTAGCTGTGTGACCCTGAGCAAGTCACTTAACCCTGTTTGCCTCAACTTTTCTTCTGTAAAATGAGCTGGAAAAGGAGATGGCAAACCATGGTCAAGAAAAGTTGGATAGGACTGAAAAACAACCAAAGAAGTACTTGATTGATTGATTGAACTATATATGGAAACAACCCCTTCTTTCTCCTTAATCTTTTAGGCTCTGGTCCTTTCTGTCCTGGCTTAGCATAAAGGGGGACAGGGCTATTATAAAAGTCATTTTGAAAAAAAAAATTATCTTCAGCGTTGATCACAATCTTTCTCCATCTTGTGTATGTGATTAAAAAACAAAACAAAACTGAACTGGTCCATGAGTTCCCTGTGCATCCACATCAATTTCTTTAGATATTCCCCCCCCCCCCCATTAAAATTCTAATGAACAAATTTAAGTGATTACATCCTTGGGAGCATATCATCCCTCTTAAGGTGACTTCCATATATAATTGGAAGACATAAGATCCTATCATTTGCTTGAACTCTTTGAAATCTACTTTCCTCAAATTTAGGGTACATAGAATATGCCTGAATTTTCATTTCTTATCTATGTTAAATGTTAAGATGTCATTGTCACTTCCTGCCAAGGTTTCTATTATTCCTGCCTTAACAACCAGTTTTTCTTTTTCTTTGGACCAAAATCAGGTCTAAAGAATCAGGCCCGTCATGGCTTCCTTCACTTTTTCCAAGGATAACATTATCATTAAAGCAAGTCAAGAATGTATTGGTTGCTCGCTTTTGAGAGAGAAAGAGGGAGAAAGATGGAGAAGGAAAGGGTAAGGCTCTGGGGCTGAAGTTTCTCTTCACTGCTATAGCCTACCTCTCTATTAGCTTTGTGATTAGATTTCTGAACTCATCATTTGTTTCTTCCTTCTGGCTTGGTGGGCTGTATTCGACTCAGCCCTATGATAATGCTTTTGTTTCTTCCTATCACTGATCCTTGCCCAAATTCATCGCTCCTGTTTCATGGATTTCCTCACAGGAACATCTTTTCTTGATAAACAATGCTTGATAAACAATACTATATTGTAAAAAATCTAATCTGTACCTTTTGAATGAGGTAATTATCCATTGTCATATTCTAATCCTGTGTCCCATCATAGCATATCTTAGTGATAGCTACGGGATTGATCTCTTTCCACTTCCTTGATTCTTCCTGCTTGGCACATTTGTGTGTAGACCATGAGTAGCATTCCTCTTCTCCTTAAATATTCTTTATGAATTACTGGAAGAAGATTATCTGGTACCTGTTCTTCACTGAGGGGCTGTAGTGGAAAATGGAAAGAACCCTGTCCTTGGGAGTAGAAAACATGACCCTGAGCTCTCCTTCCACCACTTATTTACTCTACTTAACCTAGAGTTTGAACATTCATAGTTCTTTCTTTGCAATGGAAGAAACTCAAACATAGCATAACCTGCAGGTCACTGGGACATTCCCCTCACCTTCATATTTAACACAAACTCTCCAAGTCCTTTTCTCCCTTTATCAAGTTGTTTCAGGTTATAATTGGCATATTCCTGTCATCTCCCCCAGTTCAAACAGTAAATTCAAATAGCGTCTGTTGAGCACCTACTAATAGCCCAGTAAGGTGCTAGCCATAGGGGGAGTGCAATTAAAAAAAAAAAAAAAAAAAGAAGGTGTAAACCAGCCTTGCCTTCAATTCTCACTTCTCTGGAGCAGCCTGGCTCTTCTTTGCCTCCTCATCTGTTTCTACATCTCTAATGTCCTTGCAAGGTCTTCCACCTTCACTGCACGCAAGCCTAACTTTGCACCAGGCCCAGTCCCAGGATTTTGTGTTAGTCGTGCATTTCTGTGTTCTTGGGTCCTAAAGTCCACAGACTTGTCATGTTTTACTCATAAAACTGAGATAAGGACTGTATTCAGAGAATTGTGTTAATGTGTCACTGTGGCGGGTAAATGTTATCAGAATGACACCTTCAAAGATTTGTTGGGACTTGGAACAGGCCAGTCATCTGTCTGCCCAGTGACCTTGTGTGTTTTTTGTTTTAAGTAGGAAAAAAAAATCACCAGGACTCGTGTCTCTCTAACTTCTATCAATGCTTTTCCCATGATTCTTATTCTTAGTCTCCAGGTAGAACTCAAATCAAACCAGCTGATCAACCAGATCAGCCCGTGCTTATTAAGTGCTTCCCATGCGGAAGGCACTTTGGGTGAGAAGGCACACGGGTGCTCATTTTTCCTTCCCCACCCCCAATCCCGCTGCTTCCGGCCTCCCCATTCCACTGATACCCTTCTTCCAGCTGTCACCCAGCCTCAAACCTTATTCATTTTGACTCCCCCTTTTCTTTGACCCCGCGTCTGTTGGGTTCCTGATTACTGCTGATTCTTTTTTTCTCTTTCCATCCCCACCCCCATGGGACTAACTTCTCCCCAAGACTCTTGCAATAGCAGGGATCTCTTTGCTTCCCATCTCTGCTTCCTCCAGTCTCTTCTAAACATTGCAGTCGTATTGAACTTCCTGACATCCTGGGCTGCTGATGCCAGTTGCCTGCTCGGGCATATTCAGCGTTTCCCTGTTTCCTGCAGAATTGCCAGACTTCTTAGCTGGATGTAAGGCCCTCTAACCTAGGACCTCAACCTCCCTTTTCCTCTCTACTCCACCTCTTTGCCACAATGACCCTTCTATCCTGTGATTTCAGCTCATTAAATACTTAATTTCAGGCTTAAATACTCTGCTTGGTAGGGTGCATTTTGGGTTCCCGTTTTCCCTCTTATAACACATAAGTTTCCTAAGGGCACATAGAAGGTGCTTAATAAATGTAGGCTGAGTCAAGTAATGGAAGCTAATAGAAGATAAGGCCAAAAATGGTAGGATAGGTCCAGAGGGCCATGAAGGTATGTGGATTTTGCATATTAGGAGCCACGGAAGGATTTTGAGCAGGTGAGTGCCTAAGGAAGGTGAATCTGATTACAGAAAGGAGGATAGTTCTGGAAGGGAAGAGACAGGTGCAGTCATTACTTTACTAGTCTCAACATGGGTTCAAAAAGGGCTTAGAGTAGGGTGGTAGCATTGGGAATAGAAGGAGAAAGGAATGATGCACCCAGCTTTAAAAGAAGGATGAACAATTTTTGGTGCTTGATTGGACGTAAGATGTGAAGGGGACTCAGAGATGACTGTGGTTTTGGACTTCGAAAATAGCCATGTCGGAAACCAGACCAGAATGTCCTCCTAGCCTTCCATTGTCCATAATAGAAAATGTGTGTGTGTGTGTGTGTGTGTATGTGTTGTGTGGGTGTGTGTATGTATTTATGACATTTGTTAACTGAAGTTTTCTGCGATGTTCCTTCTTATAATGGGTATTTGAACCTTTTTATATTTCACTTTGATTGAAAGAATAAAAATAATCGCAAGCCTTCCACTAAGTTGCATTTTACTTGTGTATAGCTGACGGTTGATTTGTACTGTGGGCCCTTGTCCCTTGGTACACAAGTTGTCTTCATTCCTTGCTGGAAGGTAAGTGATCAAGATGAATTGTGAACCCTTTGGATGTGTTTCTGCCACAATAGACTAACGATGCTGAGTGTTAGCTTGGTTTTGCTGTAATAGGTGATGGGGCTCTGTGTCTGTGTGTGTGTGTATGTGTGTGTGTGTGTGTGTGTGTGTGTGAGATGCACCAGGAGGAGAGGCAGGACATCGAAGGACCTGGAAAGACACTTGGGCCTCCTGCCCACTTGGGCTTTTCCTACTCATTCCCTTTTACCTGTGTCTGGAAGAGTAAGTGAGAGCCCTGATTAGCTGGCCTTTGAGGGTCCTGCCCAGTGAGCTCTAAATCCAGGACCCTATGAAATGGCTGGACAGAGATTTCCAAAGCTGGTTTCCTTCTTCGTTGCTGGCCTCTACCCTCTGCATCGGATCATGTTATCTGATTGCCATTGATAAGCTGAGCAAGAGGCCTAGAAAGTACACGGGGATGACTTCAATGTTTTTCTGACTTCTTTGACAAAGAAGATAGGAAATCCCTCGTCATAAGATTTATTTACTTACAATTAGAAATCTCATGACAGTCCTCAAAGCTTTTTGTTCCCAGCCTTAGTGGCAGCAAATGGAATTGGAAGGAATAAGGCACCTTCACAGTGGCTGGAGGTTATTTTTTTTTCCTTTCCCTGCTCTGTTTATGCAGAACTGAATGGCCTATTGTACCTTATCCACAACCAAATCTTAATATTTAGAGATTTCCTTCATGGGCCAGAGATAGGAGAGAAGTGAAGGAAGAACCTTCTACCTGTAATAGAAGGCTAGATTTAATTTCCGTGGGACTCATCCTGCTGAAAGCCACGTGAATTCCTTTGTGTGCATTTCATTCCTCACTGGCTCCCTGTCCTCAATTTTCAGGAGACTTCGATATCCTGTGGCTCCTAGCTCTCCTCTCTCCCTCCTCCTTCTCCTTTGGCTCATTTGTGTGAAAGCAAGTTGTACCTAGTACCCAGAATGTTGTTGTGCTTGCAAACAATGACTTAACCAAAGCTGGAACTCAAACATCCTGCTTTCTTTAGGATGGAATAGCTAAAGACCAGTTTTGGTTTGAGTTTGGGAGGGGCTTTGGTGACTTAGTGATGCCATGGCTAGTTTCCTGCTTCAGAACATTTACGATGATGCTGGGTTTGATTTGCCAGGAGCTTATTTAAAATAATCGGGCATGGAATTCTTCATTTCAATCTTGGGAATCTGGAAACTTTGATAGCTTGCTTTCAATTCAATGACATTTAATCTAGGGGTCCTCAGTCCAATGCATTTCTTCCACTGAAGGTCTTCAGAATGTTGTTTGGACCTTTAATGGGATGTAACAAAGCCCAATGCAATGAGTACTTTTTCTTAGCCCTGTCCCTTTGCACATGCCTGGAATGCCTTCCTTCCTCATTGGTACCATTTAGGGTCTTTTTAGGCCTTATTTTTCCTGCTCCTCGTTGATTATAAGTGAGTGATCAGTTGCTGGGAAATGGTTAGGCAAAGAGCCATTTTCCCTGGGCAGATGGAGGGTTTTATCAAGCTTTCTGGATGAGGTTGGCCCCTCATAAAGATGATTCTTTGGGAAATCTTTCCTCTAATCCTAGTTGGTTCCCCCCCCCCCCTTATTTACCAAATCAGTAGAGATTCCTCTCCCTCCAGTGATTGATTAGCTCAAGGAATAAAGGCATTTGCTGTCTCCTACTTGTAAACCAGAATATGTGTGACTAGCAAATATAGGTCTTGAATTGGGGAACCCTCTAAATTCTAAGTCCTCTTGGCCAAGAAAACAATGAAGGAACTCATCTCTAGTAAGACTTTTTGACGGGTTAAAAAAATACTCCCCCTTTAGGGGGCTGAGTCAGATTATCAATTCTAGAAGGGCTACATTGCCCAGACCTATTTCCTTTCCCTGATTGGAAGGCATGCTTTAAGGCTGGCTTGCCAAGGATTATTCTGCATACATACAAATGGATGGAAAATTACTGGAAGAAAATGACCACCTCAGTTTTTAGAGTATAAGGGGAGGGGGGAGGAGAATCAAAGTTGCAAATTAGCAGGATTTAAGCCCCTGGAAGTCACTTTAATTATAAGTGAGATACAGCCGGTTTTCACTGTTAATCTGTAGCGTGATTATCTTGCCTTTTGAAAGGCAGGGCCAGCATGACAGAGACCATGCTAAGTCTCCGGTGTTCCATGCTCTTTGGTTCCTGTGTTAGTGGGGGAGGGTGTGGATGTGAATGGAAACCTGGCCCTCAGCCACAGATCTGGAAATGAATTGGCTAGGTTTGGAGCAAAGCCGGTAGGCCCTCAAGATGGCCGGAACCACTTTGTCTCAGATCACTTGAAATGGTCCCTATTCATAAGCGTGTGTCACTCAGCCTTGTACATAGACTGGCTTTCCAGTTGTGTGTTCTTGAAGACTCAAGTAATAGCTAAATATTAGAAACCTAATGCATTAAATGTAGTTTAAATTCTAGTTGGCCAAGTGCTAAACATCCCAGTCACAGAGAGGACCAATCCCTCAAGATGCTGGGCCTTGAGAAAGGGGCTAGATACAGAGCCAAAGGACTTGGGTTCAAATCTCTCCTACTTACCACCTGGGCCAGGTCACTTCCCTTGTATGAACCTCTGTTTCCTCATCTCAAAGACCTGGGGTCTCTTCCAGATTAAAATCAGTTACCCCCTTCTCTATCCCTTCCACGGGTCTTGGCGACCTCTGTCTTTTGAGCCTGATCCTAGCATGACAGGAACACAGATCTGGAGCTGGAAGGGACCTGAGAAGTCATTTGGTCCCTCCTCTTCATTTTACAAATGAGGAAACTGAGCCTCAGACAGGGGAAATGACTTGCCCAAGGTCACACAGGTAATAAGCAAAAGATTCAAACCCAGGGCCTCTTGACTCTAAATTCAGGGCTCTTTTTTTCTCCTTTCTTCCTTTCCCCCCTCCCTTCCCTCTTTCCTTCCTTCCCTCCTGTCCTCTCTTCCTCTCCTCCCTTTCTTCCTCCCTTCTTCTTCCCTCCCTCCTTCTTCCCTCCCTTCCCTCTTTCCTTCCTTCCCTCCTGTCCTCTCTTCCTCTCCTCCCTTTCTCCCTCCCTCCTTCTTCCCCTCCATTTTCTTTCCCCTTCTCTCTTCTTTCTCTTTCTTCCCTTTTCCTTTCTCTTTCTTTTTCTCTCTTCTTCTCTCCTTTTCCTCCTTCCCTCCCTGTTACACCAGACGACTCTAAAATCCTTTCCAGCTTTAAATCTACCTGTGTTTAATATTATTTTACATATAATGTTTGATGAACTGAGGTCCTCTTCATCTCTGATACTTTTTGATTATGTAAGGTCATACATAATGACCTTATATATGCCAGTTGATGTTAGTTTAGGAAAAACTAGTTTAAATAGAAAATCATTGTCCATTGGTGCCTAACTATTGCTATGACAGGAGTCAGGGGTGCTCAGGACTCTCCAGCAGTGAGTGCACTTCTCCTGGCAGGTGGTTTAATTTTTAGATCTTAAAAACAAACATCATTGTCTTTCCCTTCCCAGGAAATGGTTCTTTTGTTTTTTAAAATCTGTTTTGGGGATGGGAATGGAAAAACCCTCATCTGCCCCAGGCCACTGGGGGTCGTTGTCGGAGCAGGAATGAGCACAAAGAGCTCTCCGCTCCTAGCCCCTGCTGCTCCAGTGACTGGTTGTTGGAGCTGTTTCTTAATGGGGCCAATGGAAATCTTGGCATGAACTTCATTTGGTCCTTCAGTTAGCTTGTTTACGGTGGCTGCTTCCAATGGGAAATGAGGAGTGTTCTGGAAGTTCTATATCCCTGATCTATTCCAATCCTGCCTCGGCTACTTATATTAAAGACTACTCCTAAAATAATTGGAAACAGATTGGCTTAAACCATTTGAGTGTATTATTATTGGAAGCTACATTTAGATTTCTTAACATAATAATGTACCTTACAGTTGATTTTTCCACTTGGGGGAAGCTCCATTTCTGAAGGCAAATGCAGAATTTCCAAATGTTAGTATTTTGGAAATGAACACAATTGGGAGAGTGGCTGCTAGGACTTAGAGGAAATGAAATCTTTTTTCTTTTCTTTTCATTTCCAGGGCTATTGAGAGATTGCTGAGGCTGTTAGTTAGCAGGGCATTCTCTCCCTCATACTGTTTGTTCCCCTTTCTCAGGAAATAGGCCTCAGAACCTGGGTCCTCTCTTGTGTTCCTCCCTAGGAGGAGTATTTAATGCTGCAACCTTAGGCCGTGCAACAGAAAGGGCTGCTCCGATGTTTTGAATCGGCTTCACCCAAATCTGGCACTTTTGGGAAAAGTCCTTCGATGTTTACGTAGTCCATTATATGTAGGCACTGGGCTGTGGATAAAAAGATGGAAAATGAGTCTCTACCCTCACAGGGACTTGACGTTCTACTGGGTTGGGGGTGAGAGTATGTTAAACATATGTCCAGAAGGTTCATCTAAGAGCTCCAGTCATTTTTGGGGTTTTGCGAAGAGGGAACTAGCATCTAGAAGTAGGAGGAATTGGAAAAGGTGTTGGGAGGAAGCGGCCCTAACGCTCAGCTTTGAAGAAACCTTGGGAGGGCGGGCATTCCGGACAAAGAGAGACCATCTGAGTGTAGGCACAGAGATGCGAGAGGGAGCATCACTCGCCCCCGTGAGCTGGGCAATCTTCTTTAGTGGCTTTGATGAGTGACACTTCCAGGGGTGGGCCATCCGGCTTCCTGAGCCGGGTGATCGGGACACGTTCTCAGCTACGACTAGACGATGAGATAGCATTGTTAGGAAGGAGACCCTGTGATATCTCTTGCCATGGATGTTAGGCTCTTTTCGGGACAGCTTGGTCAGGCCTACTTGGTTCTCTCAGTGAATAGCCGAGAAGCCGAGTAGCTGGTGGATGAGAAGCCGACAGGCAGGAAGACGACAGGGAAGGAGCAGAACGTGGGGACCTAAGGTCCCTTCTGGCTCTAAATGCTATGAGATCGGAGAACCATAGGATCATAGATCT